AACTATACACAAGAGACAGCCTTGTGCCAGCACTTTATCAATGTTTATCTAAACCATAACATACTTTTCAACTCAATTTGCAGATTCTGACGTTCAAGCACACGTTATAGGGGATTGGTTATATTGGTTTCCCTACAAGCATAGATGAGAGTCTCTCTCACTTTGACCATCATGAGGCTCGGCTAAGGGATGGCAGACATTGGCCACTCTGAATATAGGATTTATCTCACCCTTAGCCGTCTTGAGGCTAAGGTAAGGTGTGGCCTTGGTCAGGGTTTCTCATTCTGGTCACTATGAACCTCAGCTATGGGATGACCTTACCACAACGAGGCTAAGGGAAGTGAAGACACTTTAAAGCTCAGGTAAGAACGGTCTTCTCTTATTAGTTGACATAAACATGAGAACATGAACTTTGGCAAGCGATGATTACCTCCTTGAGGCTCATATTAGAGTCGTCACCCTGGCCACCCATGTACTTATGGAAAAGGGGACACACACTACCACAACTGGGCTCAGGTAAGGGATAATAACGCACTGACTGCAGCTTAACACGTAGGCTTTCACGACCAATATCATCCATAAGAGGGTTTTTTTGGGTTAGATCGCGTAAATATATGAATAAATGTGCCGGTAAACCCGCCACCATCACACAGCCAACTAGTAAGGGTTGTCACGTAAACAGAACAGGTCAATGCTTTACTAGTACAGCACACTGGTGTGTTCGAGAGCCAAGCCACAACATTTACAATCTGAGTACGACGTTTCGCCATTAATTATAACTAGCTTCATCAGGCGACAGCCAGATTTGTGGAGAAGTCCACCTGTTTCGTTCCTTATATAGAGGCGTAGATGTGGTGACCACGCTTCCGCGCTCTTGAGTAGGCCTCGGCAAGGTAAGGTAAAAGTTAAAATGTAAAAAAACAAGCCTACCTTTACCTTACCTTTTACCTTACCACAATACAATCACTCTACCCTACCTTTTACCCTTTAGCAGGTAAGGTAAAAAGCAACGAGCCTATCTTTACCTACCTTTTACCCTTACCCCATAAAAATTACCCGATTACAGGGTAATTACTGGGGTACTACTACACATGACAAAGGTTTATAACGGTAAATGCTAGCTAGAGCGCTTTATACATATAGAATACTCTCGATTCCAATTTTACACGCTTTCTTTGAACTCACTCTGTCTGTTGTTGTTGTCGTTGTTATATCCTCAAATCTTGTAACTCAATTTTAACCCACTTCCCAATGTGGTATCGACTGCAAACTTGGTATACTTATGTCATTTTGTTTACAACACTATATTCTATCATAAAAATATGTTTTTAAACAATCTTTTTTATAAGTTATGTTTCGGCTTGGGTCTAATTGTCCACGGTCAACTGACGTTGGCTGTAATTGGCCACGGCCCCTTGCGTTATGGCAAGCTTCGGGGCCACTTCCTGGAGTCGTGGAGTTCTGCCATTACTAGTACAGTACATTTAATAAAAGCGTGTTTGTAATTTTGTTTATATTACTTATTAAATGGAGGCCACGGACTGCGCCACGGAGCTTTTAGCGGTAAACAAGGCACCGTATTTACCGGGTAATACTTCACGCTACCTTTACCCTACCCTTTACCTTATCCCTTGGCATGTCGACACCTTTAGCTTTACCCTTTTACCCGGTAAAAAGGGTAAATTAACTTACCGAGGCCTACTCTTGAGTCAACGTACATTCAAGTACATTATTCATGCGCAGTTAAGAAATGACGCACGTTGGACGGCGAGCAAGAGGACATCTTTGCCCGTTCTGACCATCATATAAGGAGTCTCTCCTGTAGACGAGTAGGAGAGCGCTTTAATCTCAACCGAGTCTCGCCCTGGCTTCCCATCAGGAACGGAGTGGGCAACATGCACTCCAGTCTCGCACTCCGTTAGTGACAGCCGCGTTGTGCCATATTCGAGACCCAGCACGTGGGTCCCTGCCGGCGTCATCCAATCAAGATATGACCATCAGAGACCTCTCCTCGAGACTCAAGCAACAGGACACGGCGCCTTGAATCTCAGCTCACAAGTCTCATCGTGACTTCCTGACATCACATCGAGATCTTGTATCGAGTGGCGCTCAGGACGACACCTCGCGACCACCCACCCGCCGCCCGCCTCCCTCTCCATCTCTCACCTTGGCCGCTGTCCGTGCGCGTTCCTCGGCGCCCTCGGGGTACAGCAGCAGGGATGCCCTGCTGCTCTTGCCGAGCCGGGCAGCCCAGACGCGGACCCCACCAGGCCCGGGCGTCGCATCTCCCCGCTCCTCTTCCTCCTCGTCGCGTCGCAAGCCGCTCAGCGCGCTGCTCTCGGCGCCCATCGCCTCTCGGCGGCTGCTAACGTCGGCTACGTGAGGACGCAGCGTGAGGACCCCGACCCCCGTCCCGCTGTTTCTTATCCTCCTGCTTCTCCTCCTCCTCCTGCCGCCGCTTCTGCAGCTATTGATGACAAACGCGGGCTACGGCGAGGGGACGGCAGGAGGCCACTACAGCTGCTGCTGCTCCACCTCCACCTGCTGCTGCTGCTCCACCTGCTGCTACAGCTGCTGCTCCACCTCCACGTGCTGCTACAGCTGCTGCTCCACCTCCACCTGCTGCTGCTGCTCCACCTGCTGCTACAGCTGCTGCTGCTCCACCTCCTGCTACAGCTGCTGCTGCTGCCGCTGTTGCCGCTGTCGCCATAGGCGCGCATGGAGGCCTAGCGCGGCATGCCGCCTGCACCTCGCCTAGGCCCCTACCCTCATGCACTCGGGGGGCCCGCAGCCTCTGAGTGAAACGCCTCGGCGTGTGGCGCCCTGCCGCTGCCGGGGCAAATAACGTGCGCCGGCGTGCGGTGAGGAGGGCGAGTGGAGAGCGAGCGCCGAAAGTCCCCAATGGGGAAAAGTTTGAGGAGGAGGCCGCCGACGCTGCCGCTGCTGCTGCTGCCGCTGTGGAACCACTGCCGGTGACGTCACGGCCCTGGTGGCGTCATCGGGTGACGTCACGGCCCGGTGTCTATCGGGTGACGTCACGGCCCCGGTGTCGTCATCGGGTGACGTCACGGCCCCGGTGTCGTCATCGGGTGACGTCACGGCCCGGTGTCGTCATCGGGGGACATCACGGCCCCGGTGTCTATCATCGGGTGACGTCACGGCCCGGTGTCGTCATCGGGGGACATCACGGCCCCGGTGTCTATCATCGGGTGACGTCACGGCCCCGGTGTCTATCATCGGGTGACGTCACGGCCCGGTGTCGTCATCGGGTGACGTCACGGCCCCGGTGTCGTCATCGGGTGCCGAGCAATCGGAGAGCGCTCGCGGCCCCCCCCCCGGGGTGGTTTGGGGGGGGTTTAGACGATACCGAATAATTGGGATGATAATCATCAATTATCATCCATCATAGAGAGTGGGGTTTTTTTGTTGTTGAGTAATGTCTTAGCAAAGTGTCATCATGTGCAGCCTCTGGGGGCTGCTTTCCGGACTGAATGAATGCATATGACCTCCCGCTCGGTCTTGTTGTTCTATATGGCACGTGGCGTTTGTTGTAAATGTCAGAATGGACGAGACAAATGATATCGATGGTAAGCATAAGAGGTTATTTGGGGGCGGGGCGGGGGGGTGGTTAGATCGAGTAAATATAAATGTGTCGTTGAACCCATCAATCACCACGTGAGCAGAACATGCCGATTCGTTACTGATTCAGCACACCGGTGTGTTGGAGAGCAAATCCACGACATTTAAAATCCGAGCACGACGTTTTGCCAGTAATTACAACCAGCATCATCAGGCGACAGCCACATTTGTGGTGAAATCCTCCTGTTTCCTTCTTAAATCAAGGGATAGATTTGATGCCGTAACTGTTGAGCCCTTAAGGCCAGAGGTAGTGGGGGGGGGGGTAATGAATTCATATAAATTACAATGAGTATCCATTACTGGTTGAGTTACAATCACCATAAGATTTTTTTTTTTACTTGTAACGCTGCGCACAATACATATTCGCTCACTCTCACAGAGAGCCACAACGATCGGCCAAGTACGGTGCGAAATAAGTTCAAGGCAGCCGGTTTTCCCCTTCACGTTTAGAAACGCGCATTTAAAAGTATTTGGCTGCAATACATTCCCACGCGATGAGCCACTTCGTTGAGCTATCATTTATGGCCAGATCGCTTCTGAAAAAGAGCTGTGTCACTCAGTGGGCCCGACATGGTAAAATAAGCATAGTTCATAGTTAACAAGAACTAATTTACTCACTCGGCCAGCTAGGTGGATGTCCTCTCAGACGCGTCCCATTCCTTGGCTCCCACTTTTATTGTCCGTGAACATCGGCCATCATCCCATCTAACTTTTTCCGTTTCCAGCCCAAGTGTGAGCTTATAGCTCGGATGATGTCATTAAACCGTCACCTATGCGTTCCTCCTTCTATCTCGAAATGTAATTCCAAGCATGTGTTTCTGTGTTCGCCGGGTTAACGAGTTTGTTATATATATTTTTCATTCATGGACATGTTTACTATTGGGGCCGTCCATAAATGACGTCACGCGATTTTGAACGATTTTTTACCACCCCCCCCCCCCCCCATCGTCACACGGCATCACAAAAAGTCAGACACTCCTCAAATATGACGTCACAAAGCTCTGCCCCCCCCCCCGACTAAAAAATAAAACATGCTTCAAATCGCTTTAAACTATTGTCATTGTAGTGCGTATTTAATGTGGCGCTGCACTCTGATGTTGTAGGAGAAAACATTTATAATAAAAAAAGTCTATTTAATTAAGTAGAACGTGTTGTCTATATTTATTAAAAGTTGCGCAATTTGATGTGACGTCACATTTCTCACCCCCCCCCCTCGTCACACATCGTCACAAATGTCTGACCCCCCCCCCCTCCCCAGGTGCGTGACGTCATTTATGGACGGCCCTATTGTGTAGCGAATATGAATCAACGAATCATTCGGTTACCAACATGTGGTCCACAAACTACTTGGTCGTCCACAAGGCAGTGGGAAGTGGCCCATTTCTTATTAATACCTGCCTGGTGCATGGTGCTCCGTGACATTTTTGTCGAGGGGTGACAGTGGCACGCGAATCCGGGAACCTTGAGAACCATTGCATCAATCGATCTCAGTAAGCATCTATAATAAAGCTCGCAATGCCGTGCATTGAGTCGTGCGTATTGTTGAACTTATTTTGCACAGTACATAGCCAACCGTGTTAATCAGGTGTGTATTAGAGATGATGTCCTGCTTTTTTAAATTCCAAAATTGGTATTGATTGTGGATCTGTCGGATGATCTGAATTAAAAGAAAATATCAAATTAATTTAATGGTAAATATTTCATTAAAGTCCACAAATCTGCTCCAGTGCCTATCCCGCTTCTTTGACAATGACGTCTAGTTCTTATATCAGGTCCAGGAGCTGTCCCTTTTCTCGTACTGTGAAGCACAGACCCCCTACGAAAAGAAGACTCTTAATTTCAATGAGTTTTCACCTGGCTGAAAATAATGGTTGTTTAAATATGTTTGTATGCTATGATATTGAGAAAAAAAACACAGCAAACTATTCCCATTACAGTGTCAGTGTGCATGTAGGTAGCTGGATAGATATCACGGTCTATTTTTGCAGATATAAGGATCCACCAATATCAACCCCACATCAACACGGATAAGAGAAGATCACTGTAGTTGGTGGTGTCCAGTATTAAGTTCACCAGTTCAATGTCATCATGCTAGTTTATAAGGCACCTGAACACGAGTTTAATTTCAAATGGTATCATTCGTGCAAAGTGCCCCATCGATCACATATGGCAATTGGATAGATGTATCGTCTTTATTATGGACCATCAGCAAAGTTGTTAGCCATACTACCTGCTTTGGTAATTGTGCACCTGTTACACTATTATCGTAATACTGTCTTGTACAATTTAAGTATTGTATGGTCATTGGTGACGATAACATTTTTTTTCGTGAAATGCGGTTTATGCAATTTCTTTAGGTGTTGTTACGTTGTAATCAAAATTCTTAAATGCTATACAGTAATTGGTTTCATTCAGTTTAGCAACAATAACGAGCACTCAATCCTTCACATGCATGGTTCAAAAGTGCGTTCCTCACAGTTATATTGATTTTCAGACAGTATTGCCTGATCGACTCCTTGCGTCAGAATTGTACTACTGTAATGATTTTTGGTACGAGCTATGGTCAGTCTTATCAATTGTTACAACGTATGCATGTATGTTGAACTTCTTTTTCACCGCACTTACCGTGCTAATAGATTTTTTAAAAGTCTAAAATATTAGCAAACATTGAATACAGTGAGTTACTTAAGATAAGGGATTATTTAAAATTATCAACACATTAGCACAAATATAATGCACTGTCATTTGTCAGTCCACTGCTGGACAAAGGCCTCCACACGCCGTGTCACTCGTGCAGGGTTTGACCATACTTCATCACGCTGGTTAATGCAGAATGATCATGGGAGTCCACCCTGGGCTGATTCAGACATCACCCCCACTGATAGCAGTGACCAGGAATTGAACTTGGATGGGCCCGGTTTATAGTGCAGTGCACGAACCCCAGCCCTAACTGATCAACTCCCATCAACACATTGTCCCGTCCCAAAATGATTTCGAGAAGTTGACGGGTCTCGGAGAAATATTTTTTCTTTTTACCAATCACGTAGTTATTTCTAAAACACTTACAGAAGGCATCGCTCCCATGTCCTCCAAAGCATGGGTTGTACTGTTGTGCTAATGATTAATAATGATGAACAATCCGAAAACTATAAACAATGTGCAAAAATGCATCCTGATACGTTACCGTGTGAGAGGGTCAATAATAGTGTTGGGTTTATGGGCTAAGGATGGTGAGCGGTTAATGTTTGAAAGTCAAAGCTTCGTTTGGCTGAGGTTATTGCATTAGGGTTAGGGTTAAGGGGAATGTAATTGCACAGGTAAATCTATCATTTACGATGTCATGCGAGTGTTAACGTTATGGTAAGGGTTAGTTGTGTTCATGGTCGTTAGTATTGGTTACTGTGTTGTGTTCATTGTACAAATCACGTGGTGATACTGCATTGGCCGTGGTACACAATGGGCTATGAAGAAAGGCCATTACCCAAAACGTCACCTCTTATATATATGTGTCATTCTCAGTCATTGTTATTGATGAATGTGGTTAGTGGTGAGTATGGAAGTAACCTTGGGTTACTGTTACTGTCATGTTTATCACATGAGTTGGCATTGGTTAATGTTTGTGTGTTTTGTTCATGGTAGTACTGTAGTGGTTAGTGAGTGCTGTGTGAGCATTGCATTTTTTAACAATGTTTTATTTTACCAGGTAAGGCCCACCGAGCTATATAGATATTTTTCAGAAGCGACCTGGCCACAAATGATAGCTCAAAGAAGTGGCTTATCACGTGGAAATGTATCGCAGCCAAATGCTTCAAAAGCATATTGTCAAATTTGGAGGGAACAACCGGAGGGCCCGGAGGAAAATCCACACGACCAAATTGCAATCTCCAAATATACAGGTGTCAGGGTCAGGATCGAACTCACGATCTCCTGCATACCAGGCGAGGGAGTTAACATACAGTCACCGCGGCACCCCTGGCGTATCGGTGAGTGTTACCACACTTGTTTAGAGTATTTGGTTGCAGTAAATGTAAGCTACTTTGTTGAACTATCATTTGTGGCCAGGTCGCTTCTGAAAAGAGCGAGATAGCTCGGTAGACCTTACCTGGTGACATAAAGATTAGTTTTTTTCCCCAGCAAAGCCTTACAGACTTACTTGTCAGTGTCATGGCTCTTTTTCAGGAGGGTCCTGCCAACTTTTCACAGTAAGGGGCAATAATTTGCCGAGCATTGTGGCCATTGCTGGTTTATGTAATTATGAGTAACAGTGCGAGCAGTAGCGACGAGCCAAGCCGATTGTGAGCGTCCTTGCAGCAGAAGTCAGATTCTTGTCGACTTGGATCGAGCTCTGACGCGAGCACAGCACACGAGGGCGATCGCCAGGGCTGCAGGGACAGAACCGCAGAGTGAATTTAGTCACTGGTGGCAGGTGCTCTCAGTGTGACGAGCTCTTCAATTATTCACATGCCAGTGTGTGTGTGCATACCGATTAGGGCTGCCGGTCTAGCGTTGCCAACCCTCCCCAAATTTTCCGAGAGTATCTGCAGGAACTGACATCGATCTCCCAGTGACCAATGAAAGCAATCTGGGAGATTTAGAATTGTATATTTGAAGAAAATAAATGAATCAAACAAAAATCTCTTGGAATAGCTTCGGTCAGAGTTGGCAACCCTAGCTGCCACGGTAACAAAAACAAACAAAATCACGTTTCTTAAATCCCCCCACCCAGCAGTATAAATGGATACACCAGATGAATGGCAGGTCAGGTGTGACTGGATAGAGTTCGGATGAACCCACCTCTTCTGAGACATCTGACCAGTGTGGAAGAGTAGGCCAAATGCGTTTTAGAAGTTGCTCTCCAAGGCTCCCTCTATGGGAGGCCCTTTTACTAGCAGTGGTGTGAGCACGCAATTGTCTGGCTGCGCCATCACCACTACTTTCTTTATTTGTGTGACTGCAATCCGAGCATATCAAACTCGGGTACCCGGTGAGACATGACAGCATTCTGCTGGTTGTGAAGCATGCGGTGCTGCTGGGGGGTTGCATCTGGAAGGTGCACAACAACCGGGATGTACCACGGGAAGAAGAATATCTCAGGATACTGGCCAAAGGGAGACCTATTTGTACATGTATTGTCTTGAGTGGTGTGGTATTATTTAACTGACAACAAACTGAACCTTTATCATCCCGGCAAGGCTTACACAGGATTCTTAGGATTATAGAAAGTAAGACGTGCTCAAAAACGTGGGCCCGGTGTCAAATGAAGTTAAACGATTCTGGTCTCTCCCAATTTCACACACACATCTACTGAATTACAAGATGCACCTAGAACGTTTTATTTAAAAAGCAGATTGGTGATGGGGGGGGGGGGTAACTGAGTGAGTCTTATAATCTGTCAAAAAATATAAAAAAAAGACTGTACTCCTACAATTTTCTCTGGACAGCTACCTAAATAAAACGATGACGATCCTGGGCAAACGGGGACAAGGTGGCAACCCATTGCTTTGCTGCGTGAGCCGGGGGGTGAACTTGCCTACGAGGGCTGCGAGGCCCAGCACGAGGGGCAGGACGACTGCGGAGGCGGCGGGGGGGTGGCACGCGCGCACGACGACGCCCACGCTCGTCTGGCGGCAGAGACCGCGGCGGTCGCACACGGACACGGGCAGCGAGCGCTCGCCCAGGCTGAGGCGCGGCACGCGGGGCACCAGCACGGCCGTGGAGCCTGCAGGTCGAGCGAGACACGGCGGCGGACGTGAGCGAGGACTCTCTCCATCATGGGAGCTCCTTTGCCAGTACCAAAATATACTGATAGGGTTTTTATTCTTAGGTTTTTTCGGTAAAGTCACGTAGGTAAAACATTACAATTAATGAAAGTAAAATAAAATAAAAATCACGACGTTTCGGAGGCAACACAAGTCTCCGTCATCAGGTGGGACCGTCACAGCCAGATTTGCTGCATCAAGTGAGGCAATAATTCAAGATGTAATCCCTTAAAAGCAAGTTGAGGGGGGAGGAGAGGGGGGGGGAGCTCATCAGAATGTGGTAGCCAATGAATGGAACGTATCGGGAGGGAGGGGGGCGGGGCTCAAAGACGGCACGAAGTGCCACGTAGAACGCATCGGGAGGGGGAGGGGGGCGGGGCCAAAAGAATGCACACCGTTTGAGACCGGGCTCAAAAGAAAGCTGTCTCTAGTGTGGACCAATCAGTTTCGAGGACAATGCATATATTATCAGAGTATGTTTTTTGTTTGCATTCTGACCACCAGTATTGTGGTTAATGCAGACATGATTCCTTGTAAAAAGTTTCAGTTTTGTTGCCAGACAAATGGGGAAAAACCTATTCGTATGGCTATTATTCCCCACAAACTTTGCTTTTGTGACCAGGACAGTGATATTTTGAAGTGTACCTATTTTCAATGGCAAAAGGTGTGCATTTGTGCCATTCCTTCACGTAAAGTCCTGGTCACAAAAGCACAGTTTGTGGGGAATAATTGCCATTTTCTATACTTTTGAGGCATAAGCAATTAGAAAATAACACTTACTACCCAGGAACGAAAATCGTGTGTCATAGTGATTATATATTGTAGGGCACCACCGGGTTGTGAGATGTTGACTGCCTCGCCTGGAATGCGGGAGGTCGTGTGGGTTCGATCCGCAATCCTCGACGCCTGCTGTATATTTGGAGTTTGCGTGTTCTCTCTCTCCCCGTGGTCGCGTGGATTTTTCTGTGGGTCCTCCGGTTTTGCTCCTCTGCTATTATTAGCTTACTTTTTAGAAGCGACCTGGCCACAAATGATAGCTCAACGAAGTGGCTTATCATGTTGAAATGTATGGCACCCAAAGACTCTAAACGGATGTTTACAAATGTGGGAGGGGAAACCCGGAGGACCTAGAGAAAAATCCACACAATCACAAGGAGAGAGACATGCAAACTCCAAATATACAGCAGGTCTTGGGGTCGGGATCGAAACCACAGCCTCCTGAGGACTAGGCGAGGGAGTTAACATCTCGCCACCCGGCACTCCAAAAGCACTACCCGCTGGCCGTGTCAGGTAGAACCATGGAAAAAACCGAAACAAAATTAAGTGTCAAAGAAACAACAAAAATGACGAACACTGCCAACTATGCGAGGCAGTGCAAACGTTACCATTTGGCTGAGCGACCATCCAGCCATCGCCACCACTGTGGGCGTTAGTGGGGAGGACATGGAAGGTGAAGGGCGCCCCGTTGCTGGGGCCGTCCGCGTCCGTGGCCGACAGCGTGGCGTCGCCATAGGCGAGCACCTGGCAGAGCAGCAGCAGCGGAGGAGACGGCTGGGGGGCATGGTCATTCACATCCTCCAGCCGCAGCAGCAGCGCCACCGAAGCCGTGCAAGCACCTGCAGCACCCCACCACATGCATCACTCGTCGTGAGCCACGACCGATCCACCGACGAGTGAAGGCCTTAGATCTCGCCGTGTTGCGTCGCGTCGCACTGTGTTGCACGTGTAGCGACTGATGGGAGCGCTGGAAGAGGCGGTGATCGCTACGGCATGGGGAGAGGCAGTGCCCGCTCTCACGAGGGCTTGTAAAATGGGAGAGAGAGCTGCGAGTTGCCATGCGTGGACAGAGCAGAGATCTAGAGTTGGCATGCGGTTGTCCGCGTGTAATAAATTACGCATATTCAGTTCAGGTTGAGGAACACTGCGTTTTTATTTTGCGATTGCCTTTTCTGTATTGTATTTTTCATTGCGGCGCACTGCATCACATTGCATTGTATTACATTGCATTGTAGTGCATTGCGTTGTACAGTAATGCCGCGTGCCATCGGTTGTAAATGCATCGCGTGAGCGGTTGGTTCCCTCGCGGCGCCGTTCTGACCGTGCGTGACGGCGACGACGGCGACGAGGTAGGTGTCGTTGACGACGTGGGGAGACTCGCGGTCCAGCGATGCGCGCGTCGCCACTTCGCCCGTCGCAGCGTCAACGCTTAGCCAGCCCGCGCGGTCTCCCTCCAGCCTGTCGAGAGAACGTCATCATCTTCATCATTATCGTCATCATCATCATCATTATCGTCGTCATCATCATTATCGTCGTCATCATTACAAGGGTCAATCCACGTGAATGCTTTTTTTTATTTTACCAGGTAAGGCCCACTGAGCTACATAGCTATTTTTTTTAGAAGTGACTTGCCCATGAATGATAGATCAGCGAAGTGGCTTATCCTGTGTAAATGTATAGCAGCCAAATTCTCAAAATGCGTGATGTTGATTATAAATGTGGAGGGAAAAACCAGAGAACCCGCAGAAAGATCCACGTGACCATTGGGAGGGAGACAGGCAAACTCCAAATATACAGCAGGCGTCAGGGTTGCGATCGAACCCACCATCTCTGTATACCAGGTGAGGTAGTTAACATCTCGCCAACGTGGCGCCCCGAATGGAAATGTAAGAACAGCAAAGGCTTATGAGACAGTGTTGAAATGGGTCCTGTTATGTACCGCACTGACCCGCTGGGTGAAGTGTGGGTCCAGTTTAAATATCACCACCCTCCCGGCCCCCACTGATGTTTTCCGTGGTTGGAGATAGAACTCAAACACTATCCAGTCTCTAATTCGCTTCGCTTCCGAGATCTGACGAGATCAGGTGCATTTCTGGTTATTTTGTAACAACTGCGAATGATGCGTATGGTCGGAAATCAAACCCCAAGTCGTGCAACGATCCTCCATATAGCCTACACAGATTGTCGGGGCAAGTGCTGTTCGTGAGCGTCTATCACGAGGGGGTGGAGGGGCAAGGACCACATCCGGTTGCCTTTGTTTTCCCATTACTGAGCTTTACACTTTTCACCAAATATTCATTTAAGGTTGAATGGACTTAGGGGAGGTCCAGGACCCGTTCAGATACCGTTACTGGTGTTGGCCATGAGCGGGAATCGATCTCGAGCCGCCGGGTTCGCAGTGTAGCACGCTATCCGCTACACTACCGCTCCCAGGTCATATACACACACAAAGCAAAGACAAAGATCCCCCATATCGCCTCAATAGAATGTTGGAACAAGTACTGTTAGTAAGCACCAATGAAAGCCAGAACGGCACACGAGGGGGTGGGTGGCCATCACCACGCCTGGCCGCCTTTGTCTCCCTCATGGAAATGTTTTTACACATCGCACTAGGTACTTAATTGAGGCTAAGTCGGAGAGACTCAGATAATTGTCACCGGTGTTGGTCATCAGGGAGAATCGATCTCGGACCGCTGATTTCGTAGTGCAGCGCGCTAACCACAACACAACCACTCCCAGGTCATAAACACACACACGTACACACACACACGGTACACAACACACAGCACCCACAGATAACCCCCCTTACAGCCAACCTGAGCTCAATGATCTGAATATTCTCGGCCGTGCGGACGGTGAGTAGTTTTTGTCCTGGAGGTAGCTCCTCGGGCATCTCCACGTTGATGGCGTCCAGAGAGAAGACTGGACATCCGATCCCTCCGCCCGGTGCCTCCAGGTCACTTGGCTCCTGTACGCCGAGTAGCACCATGGACTCATCCTCTTCCGGTTCCTGCAGATGCTCAGCTCATCAGCACGTCTGCCTCATGCAATGCCAGTGGCCATTTACTTATTATTATTATCGACCATTAGGCCTGTTTAGTCAGGAAAGCGTCGCTGAATCTATCAACACTCTTTGTGAGGAGGTTCCGGTCAAAAGTTTGCGCAGCAGGGGACGATGCTGCTACGCATAATCTCAACTGACCAATTTGCAGGGCAGTTTTCAGAATTGGAATGTTTTGGCCAATACCAGTTGCGTTGCATTCTTTTCAGCTATGAGAGGAAGCCGGAGAACATACAAACGCCTCGGATAAGTAACGGTTAGCGTGCCGTGCTACGAACCCGGTGACCCGAGTTTTTTTCCCCCTCACGGTCAACACCGGTGATGATTAACTGAACTGGACCTGGGCTTCCCCTAGGTCAACACAGCCTCAGATTCTGAGTACCTGGTGCGGTGTGTAAACATCTCCACTCGAGAAACATAGGCGGCCGGACGTGGTGCTGGCCGACTACCCCCTCGTGTGCCAAGCTGGCCTTCATAGGTGCTGGCTAACAGCGCTTTCCCCAAACAGTCTGGTTAAAGCAAAACGGGGGATCTTTCGTAATGCCTGGAGGTGGTGATGGATCAATGGGGTAGCATGGGCCCTGGTGCAACACATTAAATGGGGCCCCTATCCAATGTCCCTCCTGTCTCCGTCAGTAGCTTTGCAGCTGAGGCCCTCCGGCTCATGGGCGCCAGTGCCAGTTGCAGGGCCTACACGCTCAGCATCTATACCGCAGCGGTGGAGGTTGTGCGTTCCTGGTACTGACGATGGTGGTACATGAGATGTAAACATAACAAGAGCTATATAGCTAAGGCCCACTTAGCTATATAGCTCGTTTTCAAAGCTACCTGGCCACAAATGATAGCTGACTGGAAATCTATAGATGCCAAATACTCTAAACGCGTTTTCGAAATGTGGAGGGAAAGACCAGAGGACCCGGATAGAAATCTACGCGACCACAGGGAGAACATGCAATTTCCAAAATATAGGCGACAGGGTTGGGATCGAGCCTCCTGTATACCAGGCGAGGTAGTTAACATCTCGCCACCGTGATACCCCAAGGTGTCTGAAGGTGTCTTCTGAAGCTGGTGGAGTTACTGCCCATCACGCTGGTGACACTTACAGGCACGCGCGGCTGAGACGCGGATGTGCTAAGGGTAGCGGCGGCGGTGCTGATGCTGTCAGCAATGATGACTGTCACGATGGCTTTGTCCGACCGCCCAAACTCCGCTCCTCCACAATCTCGAGCCGTCACCTCCAGCACGAACACGCCGTCATCCTACGAGAAAACATGGGCGGGGCAGCCGTGTCGTGAAGCTCTTCCCAGTTCATTACAACCAGCAGTGAAATAACTCACTTGTAAGAGCATCTCGGGGTGGAGTCGCGATACAGAAGTTAGTGCCTTGAGCTATGAATTCGGCGACCAGATTTAGAATCCTGGCCTTGGCTAGCATTTGGGGTGAGTGATATCAGAACCCTGTTCTAGGTCTCCCCCTTCCCCAATCCGCACTGACCAGTGTGGTGAACTATGGCAAAACAAACACCATGACCGTCACGGAATGTGGAGGCCTTCATTCAGCTCTAGATTGATAATGGGCTGTAATTTATTATTGGAGTATTTCACTGATATGAGAAGAGCGTAACAGTGAATACATGAAGGGGAGCTGGAAGACACAAATTTTAGATTTGTACACAAACACACACGTACACTAAAAAAGAAAAAGATCCCCATATAGCCTAGATAGAGTGCTGGGGAACGTCCTGTTAATCGGATCTGAAGTCAGAATGACGTTCCAGGGCCAGCAGCATTGGATGATTATGATGGATAATTATGATTGGCAATGAATGAAGGTAGTGATGATTAATGCGGTTTAAGTCCCCTCGGCCACCCTGGTTAATACTGCGGGTGCATTAACCATAAATACACACCATCTGCAACACAGTGGATGTTAACGATCCCAGGGAGGTGAATCGAAGAAGAGTAGGTCATGTGTGGTGGTTTCACGATCTAAAATATTCAATATTACCCGCATCTTACTCGTACGGGAAAACACATAGCAATCGTCTCCCCCTACTGTGACACCACTGCAGACTATGTGTAGTGACGTAAATGGAGTCACAATGGCGTTTAGCGCCAGCTACTGTCAAAACAGTGGAATTTGTGCGTCTTGAACCTCTCTCTGGCACCGGAGTGGGTGTGCCATGGAAGCGGGCCCTAGGGAGCAAAGTTCCTGCGACGGTCAGAGGAAGGGCAAGTGAGGACGTGACAGTCAGTCTGGGTGAACCCGAGAGGGCACGTGATCAGGACAGGGTAGCGGGGGGAGGGGCCCGAAGGGAGGCTTGAGGGACACGTGATGTTCGTTCGAGAACCTTCTGGTGAGATGCAGAAGGGGGCGTGGCCGAAGGTGGAGCGAGGCCAAAAAGGGAAGTCCCGAGGGCACTCGTGGTCTGTCTTCTGGAATCAACCCGCCGTGCTACGCCTCCTCGATCTTCGGTCTTCGCTCGGCATTGTGGGTCAGTCAGAGTGTTACTGACTGACCCGGTTATGTAGTTACCCCGTTGGGGTCTAGTTAACTTGTGTACGTTGATGTAGTGGCCCTGTTGGAGCCGTGTAATTAACGTGTTGCCTTCAAGTTCAAGTGTGTGCCTCCGTGAAGAACACTACATATGCACGCATGTTGAACTTTTTTCGCACCGTACATAGCCAAGCATACTAATCGGAGGTGCGGGGGAAGGACAATTAATTAAACACAAAAGCAGTTCTAAAGAAATTAGTTTTCAATCTAGATGTAAAAGTGCATAGCATGTTTATAAATGTGGATGGAATAACCGGAGGACCTGAATAAAATCTACGCGACCACGGGGAGAGAACACGCAAACTCCAAATATACTGGCGTCAGGGTCGGGATTGAATCCACGACCTCCTGTATACCAGGCAAGGTGGTTAACATCTCGCCACCGTTATTGTACAATGGTGATGACGACGGTGAACGAGGTGTGACGGGGTGACACTGCTCGCGCGTGCGCACCGTTTTGGGCAGCGCGCGGTGCGTGTGGATGGCGCCCGAGGTGTTGTTGACGGTGAAGATGCGCGCGGCGGGGGAGCCGGGCCTCTGCGCCGTGAGCGTGTGGGAGACCTGTCCGTACAGCGTCTCCTGGTCATCCGCGTCCTCCGCCTGCACCACTGCCACCAGCGTCCCTGCCGCACACACAACAACAACGCCGTGGCGAGATGTTAACTGCCTCGCCTGGTATACAAGGAGGTCGTGGGTTCGGTCCTGACCCCCCTGACGCCTGCTGCTGTATATTTGTTCTCTCTCCTCATGGTTCGTGTGGATTTTTCTCCGGGTCCTCCGGTTTTTCCCTCCATTTAGAATCAACGTGCAGTTTAGAGTAATTAGCTGTTATCAATTTCCACATGATAAGCCACTTCGTTGAGTTATCATTTGTGGTCAGGTCGCATCTGAAAATGAGCTATATAGCTCAGTGGGCCTTACCTGCTAAAATAAAAAAGAATTTAGTTTTCAATAACAACATTTTGCTGCCAATCAAAGCATGTATTGCTTTACCCCCACCCACCAACCACCCCCCCCCCCAACTCCAAATATTTCTCACATCCACCATTTTCTCAGCCTAGGTACCGCCCTCATCCATGTCTTCATCATATCCCGAACTCAACTATTGCAACGATCTCCTCTATGGCCTCCTCAAATCCCTCGCCTCCAAACTCTAGTTGATTCAAAATGCCACTGCCAGACGTCTTACCCGCATTCGCATCTCTGATTAGCACGGTTGGCTACGTATGGTGCGAAAGAAGTTCAACGCACATACACATGTGATCACATCACCCCAATGCTTCAATCTTTTCACAAGTTCCCAATGCGATTTTGAATCACTATCAAGGTCATGCTCACCATCTTCAAGATCCTCCATGGCCCAAACTGCCCCCTCGCATCTCACTCTGCTCTCCTCCACGCACTTTTTGCTTCAGCAACCACGACTATACATCAAAGCCATCAGTCAGCCTTCGCTTAAAAAGAGGTAGTTCTTTCTCCACTGCTGTCCCCTTTGTCTGGAATTCCTTTCCCCAAGTCAACTGTGTTGTCGACTCCCTGCCCCTGTTAAAGTCCACAACTGAATGCTTCTGTCTACATAAATTTGCCCACTGTTTCAGGATAGCGTATTGAGATGCGATCGCGTATAAACGCCATTTTAAACCAAAATGACCATTGTAATTGTCCCAATTTGAGGTCACTACTCAATTAAAGAATGACACCTTTTTGGTTTGCACACTCTCGTGTGTTCCATCTCTTCTGCCCAGAAGCACAATCTGCGAGCCTCCTCCTCCACACACTGACACCACTGATACCAGTTAGTTTAAAGTAATCTCGGCTGGGCAGTGTTGTGGCAGGGCCTCTGACCTTGGTCTGGGAGGCTCACCAGGGGCGGCGCTGAGCAACACGTGTGCCGTGATGTCCTGCCAGAGGAAGCGAGGGGCATTGTCGTTCTGATCCGTGACGGTGACAGCGATCCAGAGGGAATGCGAAATTTGCCCATCGCTTGATGCGGCCCTCAAGTGTAGCTGTCATCACAGAGATCAGACGTGCGGCATTACGAATGGCATTTCTATCAAACAAAACATTAGCATGGTAATAAATATAACTTGAAACATGATCATCATCAGCCAACATCTAGCAACTGATGGACTAAGACCTCCCTAAGCCATTGACATCTCTCGCAGTCTTACAATGCAACCATTGCATCTCGTTCCTGCAAACGAGACAAACTGCTCTTTGTGTTTAGTTTGTTTTCTTTCCCCTGCGCCTCCGAGTAGCACGGTTGGCTACACATGGTGTGAAAGACGTTTAACATACATACTCCATTCCCACAGTGGACGTGACTTCGGGGGTGTGTTTCCTCCTTTCGCTGCGACAGCGTCGTTAGTCTCTACAACCGGCCATCGTTCCTTCTAGCGAATATATTCTACCCAAGCCCAATTGCTTTTCTTAATGGTCAATATGATGCATCTCTTGTGCATGTTGTCTCATCTACGTGTTTCACTGTTGGTCTCTCGCAGTGTAATTCGCTGTGCTCCTTTGTACACATTTCCACGATTGTTTCATTTCCCTAATCATTGTCCATCTGTTCTGTTCGATCCCATGTCATACCACGTAGTACGCAGCGAATAAAAACAGTTCTTCTTCAGGTACATTGGTATGTTTCTTATTTTTTTTCGTTTCGGTTTATCCAAAAGCACACCAACCTGCTCTCGTCTCCCTTATTATTTTATAATTATTGATCCAAGTCCACCTTCAATAACTACCATAGGTTGTATATTCTACTGTGTCTTCCAGCTGTGTTCGTCTGGCAAGATATCTTCAACTGATGAGTAAAATTGACACGCGTGCCCAAAAATTCTCACAGCATTGATGGCTCATGTGGAAAAACAAACTCGTGACATTTTTGCTGAAAGGCCAACGCTTGAACTTTGTCCTTTTGCTGCTCAGGCTGTGGAATGTTGTTGCTGGAGGGCAGCTATCACCAGCTGCCCAGTAGCATCGATCGTTAGGATCCTCTACACAACTACACACACAAACCCAGCTGGGTGGCATTCTGATAGCGCGAGCAATCAACTCGGTCAGGAGTTGTAATTTGAAATCTGGGTCAGGGGTCAACTCGGCTCATCACAATCATTCATCTGGATTGAATAAAATGTTGTACTACATTGTGAAAAGTCAGCTGTGGTTGTCCAAAAATAACTGCCCCCCCCCAGAATGTTGCCATGTGTAATTTGCATGATTACCAATAAGAATACGCAGAGATGGAATGAGATGTTCCACATGTCATCCAATGAATCGCCACAATTCAGGATTCTGATTCGATTTCCTATGTATCTGTAGGATCAAGAAGACCTAATCCATCTTAGTTATGAATCGATGCCTAGAAATCAGCACCATGTTTTGCTTGTTTGTACCTTTTTGAGTTTGGGATATTTTGTTCAGCCTTAGAAGAATGCCTAGGTCTGATTGTCTATTTTGGTGAAAGAGATTTATATTTTGTGTATCCCTATGAAGACACACACACAGTGATGACTACCACCACGACCACCATCCCTTCTACCACCACCATCCCTACCACAACGACAATCACGACCTACATCACCTCCATCACCACCATCGCTACCACTACCACCAATCCCTTCCACTGCCTCCATTACCTCCACCACCATCTCCACCACCACCCCTGTACTCAAGAGGCTCTTAGAGGGCACCGCCACCTTGCAGCAGTGGTTCTGGGTCCATGACCTCTCCTTGAATGCATTCCAAATTCCGAAGCTATCCTCATGGGCACCAGACAGCCACTCACTGCATCCACACTGTCTTCAAGAATATTAAACGCTGCCTCCACCATCCATTTCCCTAACCGTGTAAAGTTCCTCGGCATCACTCTCGATTCCACCTTATCCATTTGACAACTACACCAACCGCATCGTCACATCTTGCAACTACCACCTCCGGGCCCACGTCATCTATAACCACTCGCCATCACCGAAGTTGCAAACACCTTCACCAGCAGCACAGTCGGGTCTCGTCCCAACCATTGCATCTCCATCATTGTCAATCTTTATCAAGCGACAGTCTCGCCCATGTCATCCTCAGTGTCTGTCACCCTCGGCTAGATTATTTCGACTCCCTCCGCTCCCTCCGCTGGCTCCCACCGTCGCCAGCGGGGTCAGCTGCAAGGTCGCCTGCTGCCTGTGCCATCACCGCGCCTCTACCCTCAGCCATCGACCGTGTCTCTCTTCACTCTCCTGTCACCCTGCACTGCAGATCATCGGAGAACTCTCCACAGCAGCACGTCTCACAACTTCCTCCTCTCTACACCAAGGACCGGGACCGTCACTGCCAAGCATCGTTTCTCTGTGGCAGTCCCCACCATCTGCACCACCGATCAGCACGGTTGGTTGGCTACGTATGGTGCGAATGAAGTTCAACATACATACCTACATCTGGAACGCCATATGACGGCACACTTGCGGCATTCAAACTACATCTACTCTTAAAACATTTCGGGCCATCTCTATTTAGCCTGACTTTGAGTAACAGCACAACCACCGAATACAAAGAAAAGATCCCCCATATGGCCTTAATAAACTATTGGCGCAAGTGCTGTTAGCGAGCACATATGAAGGCTGGCAAGAACCACACCCGGCTGCCAATGTCTCCCAAGTCGTGATGTTTGTACACCACACCAGGTACTCATTGGAGGCTGAGTCGACCTAGGGGAGGCCTAGGACCAGTTCAGATAATCGTCACTGGTGTTGGCCGTGACCGGGATCGAACTCGGGTCGCAGGGTTTGTAGTGCGGCACGCTGACCGCTGCTCCATTGCTCCCCGCCTCCACCACCACCACCACCACATGCGGACACACCTGGAATCCTGCATGCTGCTCGCGGTCAAGAGGTGCCGTCACACTCAGGTGACCACTCGGCCCGTCCAGCACGAAGAGGTCTTTGGGGGGTTGGTCTGCCCCGGCCCCCTCCAGCCACAGCAGGAGGTCGCTCTCCTCCACTCCGATCTACGGCAGAATGAGTCTCAGAATATTTATTTCATACTGGAGGAATCCTATGAGCTATGAAGCTCTTTTTCACAGATGTTGAGTAAGGAGTGGGTCAGAACATCACAACAACAAAAACAATACAAAAACACGATAGGAGTGCAAAGTATAGAAAGGTAAACAAATCACTTAAAATATATATACAAATAAAACGATACTATTTTTTTTATCTTACCAGGTAAAGCCCACCTGAGCTAATTTTGCAGAAGCAACTTGGCCAAAAGTTGCAGCTCAGCAAAGTGGCTTATCATGTAGACATTTATATCAGCAAAATAATCGAAATAATGTCATATTCTCAATGTGGAGGGGTTGCCCACACTTTTTGGGAGAAAAAAAAATTGACAAAAAAACTCAATCGCCAAGACTGGATTGAGAATCTCTACGATGATAAAGCACACCGAACGACAAACGTCAGACACCCAGGTGTGACTCCTGGCCGTGACGTTGGGAACATTCAGACGCTTTGCCCTCGTACCGTCTCGAGAACTTTGGGGAACTGGCCCTGGGTCATTCTCCTCGATGGTGATGTACATGGTGTCGCCCGTCGACTGATCGGATCCTGCACACAATGAGGGTAATGTGAACTAAATGCACACACTCCGACTCGGTGTTGCTACATTCCCGCAACACAATGCAAAAACAAGCGTATTAGAAACACTTTACATATATATGTAAAACAAAGCCAAATTCTCTTTGGTTTTTTCGGTAAAGTCACGTAGGTAGAAAAAATAATAGATCACGACGTTTCGATTGCAACAACAAGCGACTGTCTTCAGGTGAGAGAATCAGACGGCGAGAGAATCAGACTGATTCTTGTCTTCAGGTGAGAGAATCAGACCGAAGTCTGATTCAGAATCAGACCGAAGTTCGAAGTCTGATTCTCTCACCGGAAGACGGTCGCTTGTTGTTGCGATCGAAACGTCGTAATCTATTATTTTTTCTACCTACGTGACTTTACCGAAAGAACCAAAGAGTATGGATTCCTGCAGCCACGAAAGCTTCAAATCAAGAACAAAGCCAAATAATCACTCACATAGCCTTAACAGACTTTCAGAGCAAGTGTTGTTAGCGAGCACTTATAAAGGCCAGAATAGCACACGAGGGGGTGGGTGGCCAGCACCACAACCGGCCGCCTTTGTCTCCCTCGTGGCGATGTTTCCACATAGCACGGGTACTATTTTGAGGCTGATTCGGCCTCTGGGAGGCTCAGAACCAGTCCAGATAATCGTCACTGGTGTTGGTCGTGAGTGGGAATCGAACTCGGGTCGCCGGGTTCGTAGCGTAGCGTGCTAACCACTGCACTTCTGCTCCCCACGCATATAAATATGTATCTACACACACACACTCAAACATGTATGTGTAAATCTTAAATTGTACACGTAGAGCCCATTTGTCAATCCAGTGCTGGATGAGGGCCTCCCCATGCCGTGTGGGTCGTAGGGGTTATTTGACCCTTCTAAAAATCCAACAGGTGCAGCAGTATGGTACAACGTCGCATAACGGACCGCCACATATCCATCCTGACCAATTAACCACCACACCCAGGAGCAATTTTTTGTACGTGGATGAACAGATATTTTCTCAGATGTTCACATATTCAATATTTTCAACATATCCGCCCATACATCAGTCCCCAGCAAATCGGAGATGAGTCAATGCACTGTACTTTAAATGTGTAATAAGTATAACCCGTAAAAACAAAGTTTTTCACTATAAATCCTTTATATGCGTGGCGGCTAGAGTCCTCTCGTCCTCTGGCTTGAGATGGCTGCCACCTATGGGTCAGATGATTGCATTGCACCATTAAGCAATTGGTAATTAAATATAATATTTTTGTCCTAACAAGTGTAACATTTAAAAAAAAAAATTTCACGAACATTAATTTTAACGCACAACGAGTCTGTGTGGAAAATGTCAGCTCGATTGGATCACGGGAAGTGGGTTAAAAAACAACCGAAAGATTTGCACGGTCCTAAGCAAGCAAGCGAACTTAATATAAAGGATTTAAAAAAGGCACGTTTTCATTTCGCACCCAACCCATTTGCTACATCATATATCACACGTTACAATTTACACATGCACTGTATCACGTGCGCATGCACACGGTGTTTACACGTGTACATGGACCTGAAAAACGTGGTAAACTGCAACTGCCTAAAAGTAATTTGAGGCACTGAAACTAAACTGAGCAAAAAAAGAACACGAAATAATCAAACAATTCTCTTTCTTCACGTATTTGTCCCTCTACATAAAAAAAGAAAATCAAAGTACATTTACACATCCAGGCAGCCACACACGGCCTTCTGGGAGTGCACAATTTCAGCAACATTGGTTCAACGCAGGAAAATTCTGGACCTGAACGAACATGCAGCGTCTCATCAGCAGAACCACGCTTGCTTTAACCAACACCGGTGAACATTTACGTTTTGTACGAAGGGATAGATACGTGCAGGAGGCGTATTCTTTGATTCTTTATTTTGTTTACTCATTTTTCGGCACAACGATGCTGATGATTTGTCCGTAAAAAATAACGCAGGAAACTGAAGCTAGGCAGAGGAGTGCACACATTACTGCGCGAGGATGACACGGTGTGGATTGGGTACCTGCAGGGTTACTATAGCTGGACAAGGGGGCATTCTCCTGGTGCAGGGAACCTGGAGGCTCATTCTTTAAACCCTGGTCACACACATACACGCACCGACACACGCACACACACCAGCTTACTTAGGACTCTAATCCCTACTGCAATTGTATTCTTTGAAAGCGAAATATGCAGGCAGGTGGCATTGTGGTTAAAAAGCACTGCTAGCAGCCTTCGACTCAGCTCATTATACCTTTCGGGTTGATAAAATATGTAGCAATTTGCAAGTAGTCAACAACAGTTTAGGTGTAACCATTAAACTTCCCCATCCGACCCCCCCCCCCCCCAATGATTTGGGGTCATGATTATAGTCGAATTATTTTGAACAGTGAGCACGTAACAAACGACATGAATAATTCACAGCATTCCTCTCATAAATTTAAAACCCTGCCTATACCGTGTGAAGCCACTGGAGCTATGCATTTTAAAAAATAGATTTAAAAATAATGCCTGTAGAACTACTTTTTATGCCGAGTTTGTCGTCCTTCCCCCGCACCTCCTACTAGCGCGGTTGGTTACGTACGGTGCGAAATAAGTTCAACATGCGTATGTACGTACATACACATACATACGTGAACTGCCAATCACAAATGGCCTTTTCGTCGCCTTTTGTCTGTAATTTATATGATTTCTTCATAATTTTTTGTGTTCTTCGATTGCGTTTCTCGTTTTTTCCTAACAATTTTACAGAGCTTTGTCCACTCTACCTTTTGTTTGCCATCATTGTCCCTTTTTGAGTAACAGAGGCATGAAAGTGAATGGCGTATACGTCAACCATCTCAGGTGTCATTGATTATGCCAGTCAGTACACAATGTCTCATCGTAACAAACTGTGAGGAAATGTTAACTAGAACTCAACAAAGCAGGCTGATAAGTAATATTAAAAATACTTTTTAAAAAACACGCTTTAATGAAATGTACCGTACAAGTAATGGCAGAACTCTACGACTCCAGGAAGTGGCCCCGAAGCTCGCCACAACGTAAGGGGCCTTGGTCATTTACAGCCAATATCAGTTGAGCTTAGACAATTAGAATCAAGCCGAAGCCGAAACATAACATAATAAAAAAGATCGTTTAAAAATATATATATTTTATGATAGAATATAGTATTGTCATCAGTGTGACATAAGTATACCAAGTTTGCAGTCGATACCACATTGGGAAGTGGGTAAAAATTGAGTTGCAAGATTAGAGGATACGACAACAGACAGAGTGAGTTAAATAAAGTGTGTAATAAAAGTGTGTAATAATAAAATGATAAAAACGAGCAAAAACATCAGGGTCGTGTTCAACAACGTTCGCTCAGCAACGGGAGGGGATCTCTGTTCGAGGGACCCACCAGGAAAACACCGAATGTTTAGAGTACCTTGGTCAAGATGATGAAGTAAAAAAAGGTGGATGACAGCAGGTTGGAATGCTTTTGCAAAGCTAAACTTAACGTTCAAAATGTATGGATGGATGTATGTTGAACTTCTTTCGCACCGTGCGTAGCCAACCGTGCTAAGAGCATCATACCCGTGGTCTAATTTCTAATTCGAGGATGTCCCCTTCACGCTGCTTGGCTGGCTTGGAGTCGGGATTTCCAGCGTAAGGCACTACTACCACGAGAGCACAAGCTATCCATAGCAATGGTGTATTTATCTTCTTGGTTCTTTCAGGTAAAGTCACGTAGAAGGGAAGTACGTGACTTTACCGAAAGAACCAAGAAGATGAATCTCTGCAGTCACGAAAGCTTTAAATCGAAATTTAATGGTGTATTTATAGTACCCTATATTCTGACAGACCACCAGAGCGTCACGAGGGCAACATAAAGGTGAGATCGATGTGGCATATTAAAACAATTTTCAGAACTGCGTTTGGGATTCTTCTTCTGCATGTAATAAAGCACTGAACACACATTTGTGTCCAAAGAGGATCATTGTTAATCAGTGCACACCACCTGATATAATATATGGTTCAGAAACATGGGAAATAACATCGTTGTAGGGGTTGTTGTTTTTTTTTTAACTGCATTGTGTGCGAAAAAAGCAAAGGAGAGATGCATAATTGTTATTACACCGGGGCATGGGCAGAAGAACGCACGGCTTAGGGAATATATGCAGCTTCACGACAGCAATTCAAAGTGTTAAGAAACGTAAGTGGGCTTCGGCAAGGGGATGTCACGGGAATGGATGACGGCCAAGGGTCAAGAATAACAACGGAGCGGCAGCCGAGGAGTGGAACGCGTCAAAGAGGCCTTCCACCGAGGGGATGGAGTGATACAGGAACGAGGTGGATGGTTTACAGAGCAGGCATGCGAGAGGTGGCAGCAGCGGCGGTGGCTTAGGGAGGCATTCGTCCAGTAGTGGATTCGCCACGGCTGACTATGATAAAGCAAAGTGTATCACTATATGCAAATAATCTTACCACAGCACTATAGGTCAACCCGACTAGAACATCGGGGAGACACGTGGGATAAGAGACAATCTGACGAAAGGCTTACCGCGACAGAGGCCAGCAGTAGCAGCACCACAAGAGCCCTCCTTGATGTGTCAGCTCCCTGCACATGCATGCTCGCATCAGCTGTAGCACACGTGCGTGTGTGTGTGACTACACACTGCTCAGCTGACGAGAGACTGCGTGTTTCAACACGAAGTTGGCCCGTGTCTCTTTCTCTGTCGTCTTCTGAAGAGTAACGCGCTCTACCGGTCCAAGCCAAGCTGTTTTCGCGCGTGCATGTCACACATTCCCATACCACTCAAACCGGCTTGGCAGAGTCAGACGCTAATGATGTACAGGTTTGGCTTGTGTGTATGTGTGTATGTCAGTGTGAGGTCGTGTCTCTTTGTTTTTGTGTGCAAGGGAGTGGCGCCGCAGTCAAGATGTTTTGGTGCGCCGTGCACAATACTTCCAGTTTCCAGAGTTTGATTCCTGGCTGTGGTACGCGCAAATCAACACTGGTGGCCAATTGCAATGTATGTATGTTTAGGTTCTTTCACATCGTACGTAGCCGACCGTGCTTATCGGAGGTGCGGGGGGAGGACAGCAAACTAAACGCAAAAAACACAATTCTAAAGAAAATAGTGTTCAATCTAGATGATTTGCAAGTGCATAGAGACCCACAGAGATCCAGAGAGTCATATTGAACCATCGAGACCCACAGAGATCCAGATTCTCATATTGAACCATAGAGACCCACAGAGATCCAGAGACTCATATTGAACCATCGAGACCCACAGAGATCAAGAGACTCATATTGAACCATAGAGACCCACAGAGATCCAGAGACTCATATTGAACCATAGAGACCTACAGAGATCCAGAGACTCATATTGAACCATAGAGACCCACAGAGATCCAGAGACTCATATTGAACCATCGAGACCCACAGAGATCAAGAGACTCATATTGAACCATCGAGACCCACAGAGATCCAGATTCTCATATTGAACCATAGAGACCCACAGAGATCCAGAGACTCATATTGAACCATCGAGACCCACATAAATCCAAAGACTCATATTGAACCATCGAGACTCACAGAGATCCAGAGACTCATATTGAACCATCGAGACCCACAGAGATCAAGATACTCATATTGAACCATCGAGACCCACAGAGATCCAGAGACTCATATTGAACCATCGAGACCCACAGAGATCAAGAGACTCATATTGAACCATAGAGACCCACAGAGATCAAGAGACTCATCTTGAACCATAGAGACCCACAGAGATCAAGAGACTCATATTGAACCATCGAGACCCACAGAGATCCAGAGACTCATATTGAACCATAGAGACCCACATAAATCCAAAGACTCATATTGAACCATCGAGACTCACAGAGATCCAGAGACTCATATTGAACCATCGAGACCCACAGAGATCAAGAGACTCATATTGAACCATCGAGACCCACAGAGATCAAGAGACTCATATTGAACCATAGAGACCCACAGAGATCCAGAGACTCATATTGAACCATAGAGACCCACAGAGATCCAAAGACTCATATTGAACCATAGAGACCCACAGAGATCCAAAGACTCATATTGAACCATAGAGACCCACAGAGATCCAGAGACTCATATTGAACCATAGAGACCCACATAAATCCAAAGACTCATATTGAACCATCGAGACTCACAGAGATCCAGAGACTCATATTGAACCATCGAGACCCACAGAGATCAAGAGACTCATATTGAACCATCGAGACCCACAGAGATCCAGAGACTCACATTGAACCATCGAGACCCACAGAGATCAAGAGACTCATATTGAACCATAGAGACCCACAGAGATCCAGAGACTCATATTGAACCATAGAGACCCACAGAGATCCAAAGACTCATATTGAACCATAGAGACCCACAGAGATCCAGAGACTCATATTGAACCATAGAGACCCACAGAGATCCAAAGACTCATATTGAACCATAGAGACCCACAGAGATCCAAAGACTCATATTGAACCATAGAGACCCACAGAGAAATGGGAGCCAGATTGGTCGACTCAGCCTAAGATTACACTACTCCAGGTGTTTATGCACTGCATTAGAATTTCGTTTCTCCGAGTTAAATTCCTGCCTGTGGCAATTGATATGTGAACCAAATTTTAGCTTTGGGACCGTCCATAAATTACGTCACGCACCTAGAGGGGGGGGGGGGTCAGACATTTGTGACGATGTGTGACGAGCGGGGGGGGGAGGTTTGAGAAATGTGACGTCACATTAAAATGCGCAACTTCAAATAAATATAAACAACACGTTCTACTTAATTAAATATACTTTTAAATACATGTTTTTCCTACAACATCAGTGTGCAGCGCCACATTAAATACGCACTATAATGACAATAGTTTAAAGCGATTTGAAGAATGTTTTATTTTGGGGGGGGGGGCGGGGGGCAGAGCTTTGTGACGTCATATTTAAGGAGCGGTCTGACTTTTTGTGACGCCGTGTGACGAAAGGGCGGGGGGGGGGTCAAAAATCGTCCAAAATCGCGTGACGTCATTTATGGACGGCCCCTAATGCGCCACCTAATGCACCCACGTGTAGCTACCTCCACACGGGTAACAAAACATTGCTCACTTCAAGATTTGAAGCTTTCGTGACTGCAAGGATTCATATTCTTAGGTGTTTTCGGTAAAGTAACGTCGTGATTTTTATTTTATTTTACTTTTATTAATTTTAATGTTTTACCTACGTGACTTTACCGAAAACACCTAAGAATATTGCTCACTTCAGCCTGGATATAACACGCACGAAGCTATACTCGCACACAACGACCCCGGAACAATGCCACATTCTGTGCGCATTAATAGTATTTCGTGCGAACGAGCGCGCGCCTCTTGATGTCGCGAGGATGGCGTGGCGACTATCACGCACGACCAAAGCACATTCCACATTGTCGATGCGAACGTTCAACATGCATACTGCACCAAGTGTCTCCGATTAGTTAGTACGGTTGACTGCGTCCATTCGGGGGTGTTGGTATAGATCAGCGGTCGGGAACCTTTTTGACTGGGAGAGCCATAAAAGCCAAATATTTCTAAATATATTTCATTGAGAGCCATATAGTATTTTTAACGTATAATAAATTAAATATGTCTTACTTTTAATGCGACTTCTGGTCACGGCACCCGTGACCCGAGAAATGTTATCTTCAAAACTAATTTCTGTTTACTTTAAAATGACACAGTATTATTAAGCAATATCACAAGTATTTAAAAATCAGTTCCAAACTGATTTTTTTATTTTTTTATTTTTTTCAACTCAAAATTGTCTGGGAGCCATATGCCGTCACCGGAAGAGCCATATATGGCTCGCGAGCCATAGGTTCCCGACCGCTGGTATAGATCACGGATATATATATCTACTGTGATACCGCAACGAATGATCATCGAACAATGTGCATTCATCTAAACGGGTATGCTCCTTAATTTGCGTGCGTGAGCATCGATGTTTGTTTTCGATACGTATTTGTATGTCATGGGTTTCACGTGACACCCCATGTAGTCGCTATGGGGGCCTCTACCGCAGTGTAAAATAGTGGTAGTCCCCGACTTACGATGGTCCGACTTACGATATTTCGATCTTACGATAGCGATACGACAAATTTGTACAATATTTTACATTTCGCGCGGCAGGCAAACGCTGGGACGCTGCCGGGATGTCCTCATCTCCCGCCTTGTGTGATGCAGATAGGATTGTTTCCTGAAAAAAACTTTCTATTAAATCGCAGTTCATATAGGTTAGGCTAAGAATTTACCTTGTTTTTTTACTTTACATTTTACTGTGTAATACAGTATTGTAATTAATAAATACATACAGTATATAGTTTATGCAGTAAATTGCTCTCTTTTGCTAAATTATCACCATTCTTTAAGACTCCTGGGTAGGCGAGGCCATCTTCGACTTACGATATTTTCGACTTACGATGGGTTCGTCGTAACGCATCTCCATCGTAAGACGGGGACTACCTGTAGTCGCGTCTGTGGGACCATTGTTGCTCGTGTCAAAACGACGAGTACAAGAAGAGGCTTTAGCCTTTGCGGTAAGAGCGCAGAAGGTGTTAAGGTGTTCAAACACCGATTGTAAGGCGTCAGGTCTGCATGCATCACACGCGATTGCCTTTGTGCTGTTCGCCTGCTGGCGTTCTCTGCTCAAACACTGGTGGTGAGGCAAGGCCACATAGGAGGCTGTCTCTGGTGTAGGCCAATCAATGTAATAGACAATGAATATATTGTTGGATCTTGTTTGTTTTGCATGTGGCAAGGCATCAGAGTTGATGCATTGCAATGTGTCGATTTGGTGTTTGAACATCTGAACACTCTTTGGTTCTTTCGGTAAAGTCACGTAGTTGGAAATAAAATAAAAACGCATCACGACGTTTTGATTAAAACACAAGCAATCATCATCAGGTGGGAAAACCACAGCAATAATTTTTTTTGCTGAAGTGTTTTTTTCTTCTTGATGTGGTTTTCCCACCTGATGATGATTGCTTTTGTTGCAATCGAAACGTCGTGATTTGTTTTCATTTTATTGTATTTCTAACTACGTGACTTTACCGAAAGAACCAAAGAGTATGGATTCCTGCAGTCACGAAAGCTTCAAATCAATCTGAACACCTGTATGATTGCCAGAAAAGCTAAAGCTTCTTTTTGCATCATTAAAATAGTGCTGAAATCGATTATTGAATCTATTGATGACAATGCATTGCATCGCCATCGGGATGGGTTAATGGCTGCATTATGTATTAGACCTATTAATAGATTAGTTTGCGCATGCGGTCACAGCATCTGTATGCGGTAATGTACTTGGATGGAGCGGTGCAGATGAGCGTGTCCATGCATGTGTGGGCATTTGTGTGTGGAACCAGACAACTATCTTACAGCCTCAGTTGACAATGTGTCAAAGCGCTGTTCGAGAGAGCCGCGGTGGCTAGGAAATGTTAACTACCTCGCCTGGTATACAGAAGATCGTGGGTTCGATCCCAACCCTGACGCCTGCTGCTGTGTATTTGGAGTTTGCGTGTCTCTCCCCGTGGTCGCGTGGATTTCTTTCCGGTTTTCCCCTCCACATTTGGAATCAGCATCACGCTTTTCCGAGTATTCGGCTGCTCTAGATTTCCGCGTGACAAGACATTTGGTCGAGCTGTCATTTGTGGCAGGCCAAGTCGCTTCTAAAAAAGAGCTATATAGGTAAGACGGGCCTAACCTGGTAAACAAAACAAATTGTTTAATTATTTACTTTAATCTTCTTGGTTCTTTCGGTAAAGTCACGTAGAAGGGAAGCAATAAAATAATAAAAAATAA